ACACACACACACACACACACACACACACACGGCCTGCTTCAGAAGCTGGTCACAGGTGGGGCTGTGTAGCTCTGCATAGCAGATGGCAGGGAGGTGCTGTCGCTTGAGGGGACCGGGTCGTGTTGGCAAGCAGGTGGCCCGGGGCCACGGAGAAGAAGTGACCCCACCCTGGCCTGGGTGGCCAAGGCCTTCCCGGGTGAAGTAGCTGGACAGCACCAGAGAACCCCCAGCTGCGGAGGAAGCTCCAGGGCAGGTGGGGAGACAGCCCCAGAGTCTGTTTTGTCTTGGTGAAGGACATCCAGGGGGTCCTAACACCTGGTCCAGCCCCAGTTTCCCCGGGTCCTGTCACTTGCCAGCTGCCTGAAGTTCAGGCCAGGCAGACAGGCATCCCCTGAGCGTCGCTGGGCACAAGTACCACGCAGGGGGCGGTGGGTGGACACAGCAACCGGCGGTCACAGAATATGGGGCTCACACCACAGCCCACCTCTCGCTCTCTGGGTGAACTTGGGGAGTTGTGTAACCACCCACCTCCCCCGAGCCCCAGAAGCTCCCTCTTGAGCCACGAGTGGTTGTGCCAGTGCGGCCCCCCGTGCATCCCCAACACCCAGTAGCTGCTGCTGCACCTGCCGCCCCTGCCGGTGTCCCCACCTCGTGCTGCTCAGAGCCCTGGGGTACCTCAGCCTCCCCCAGAGACAGTGCCACGGGTTGTCAAGGGCAGGCGGGTAAGACCCCCCGGAGGCCGGAGCGCCGAAGCCCGGCCCTGGCTGGTGGAGGGGGCCCCGGGGGGCCCGGACAGCCATTCCTGGCGGCCTCCTCACGGCGCCTGGCCTCCCCCCGACCCCCACCCCAGGAGCAGCTCCCGGATCTGAACACCCACTTCCGCTCCCAGAGCTTCCACACATCTATGTATGCCTCGTCCTGGTTCCTCACACTCTTCCTGACCACCTTCCCGCTCCCTGTTGCCACTCGTGTCTTTGACATCTTCATGTACGAGGTGAGGACGCCGAACACCCCTTCCTCTCCCAGATCCCCAGCCAGGCCCGGGCTGAGGGAGGGCCGGGACTCGGGGAGGGGTCGGAGACCCCTGGGACGACAGGACCTGAGATGCACCGCCACCATCACCTTTGCAGGGCCTGGAGATTGTGTTCCGGGTCGGCCTCGCCCTGCTGCAGGTGAACCAGACGGAGCTGATGCAGCTGGACATGGAGGGGATGTCCCAGGTGGGCCAGAGGGGCAGGGTGGGCGGGATTCCCTTACACTAGGGGCACCGGGGCAGGTGAAGGCCTCCTGAGAGATGGCAGGGGGCGGGGGAGGGGGGGCAGTTGCAAGGGCGGAAGGTGTCCTGAGCATCCTGACCCTTTGCCATGACCTCTGTTCCCCGAGGCCTTCCTGGAGGACCCAGACAGGCTCTGAGGAGCAGCCTGGGGGAAATGACGGAAGGTCTAGGCTTAAGCCAAGCCCTGGGCGGTCCTCCTAACCCCCCCCCCCCCCCCCCCCCCCCCCCCCCCCCCCCCCCCCCACCGCCCCGACCTCCTGCTCCCAGCCCTGGGTCCTCCAAAGTCTAACCCGGCAAATAGTAATACCAGCCAAACTACAAGGTCTTGGGTGTGGTTTTGGTCCCAGCACGTGGGCCAGGCGAGGGCCCGGGAGGGAAGGAGGGGTCTGGGCAGCTTCACACCCGCCCTGGCCGTCCCGCCTGCTGGAGAAGAGGCCAGCTTGCTTTTCCGCCATGTCCCCATCATGCAGGCCCCTGCCCCTCCCCGCGTCTTCCAGCTGGTGCTTCGGGGAAGAATGCACAAAGGCCACGGCTGTGTCCATGAACACGGGCATCCATTGTGCGCAGCTGCCAGAGGGGGCCAGCTGGGCTGGGGAGCGGGAGCCAGCCTGGCCCCGAACCGCAGCAAGCTGTGTGCTCCGTCAGGGCTTACGCTTAACCCTTTGCCCGGGCCCCCCGGGCGCAGGCGTGCGGGCCGACCAGCCAGCGAGGGGTCTTCCCTCCAGGCTGCTCCCGCCGCCCTGATTCCTCACACTCTTCGGCCTCCTCTCACTGCCCCCTGGGGGCAGCGACATGCCTGCCCCTTCCCCTGCGGAGGTCCCTGTGCTCAGACCCCTCTACCGCCCGGCCTTTGCCGGCAAGAGCTCCCGAAGCCCTGCTTTTTCCCTTCGAACTGAGGTCCGGGCTGTGGATGCTGCTTCCCCGGCCCCGCTTCTCACGCTCACTCGCTCGCTCCACACGCCCTGACAGAGCGCCCGCAACAGGCTGCACCCTGAGCTGGGCCGTGGCCGTGCCCCTGGCAGACCAGCTCCTCCTGTGGGGAAGCAGCATATAGCTCTGGCGGCCCCCGCACTCGGGGCCTCTGTGTCAGTGACCGCCTGTGCCCCCACAGTACTTCCAGAGGGTGATCCCCCACCAGTTCGACAGCTGCCCGGACAAGCTGATCCTCAAGGCCTACCAGGTCAAGTACAACCCCAAGAAGATGAAGAGGTCAGTGCCGGGCGGCCAGGGGACTGGCACAGAGGGGGTCCCCGAGAGTGGGACGTGGCCTCATCTGACTCCCCTCTGCAGGCTGGAGAAGGAGTACGCAGCCATGAAGAGCAAGGAAATGGAGGAGCAGATCGAGATCAAAGTGAGTCGCGGGAGTGGGGGCAGGGACGGCGTGCCCTTGGGAGGGCAGCCTTGCCCAAGCCGCACACAGCCTGTGCTTCGAGCCCGAGGCGTCTGCCTCCACACACCTGCCCTTCCTTCACCAGCGGGCCGGCGTGTGAGCAAGGGCCCACCCCACTGTCAGAGACCGGTGGCACATAAGGTGGATAGGTCCCCACCCTCATGGGACGCCCTCCTCATTATCGTGGGGAGATGGTCGGGGAACAAATGGTACAGGCTATGGACTCCAGAAAGTACTCTGGATAAAAACGCGCAGAAGAGAGGCGGAGCTGACCCAGGGAAGATTGCTCTGGGCCCAGGGAGTCAGTGCAAAAAGGCCGAGCAACAGCAGGCCTGATGGACCGGAGGAATATCAGGAAAGCTGGCCCTGATGGGCGGAGCCCTGAGGTCAGGGGCAGGCACGGAGGACCGAGGACGGTGCCCACTGTGGCCCCTCAGACCCAGACTCGCCTCTCTCTCCTTCCTTCTGCTTTCATCCTTCTGCATGTGATTTTAGTTATTCATGCAACAAGCATTTATTGAGCATCTACTGCGTGCCAGAGTCACAGCAGAGACCGAGGGTCTCCCCAGTCCAGTGAGAGGGACAGACACAAACCCAAACCCCAACACACCTGGCTTTGTCCTCTTCAGAATTCACTTCCCAGCTCTGCCGTGGACCAGCTGTATGACCTAGGAAGGTGGATTCACCTTTCTGAGCCTCAGTGTCCCCTTCTGCAAAATGGGAATAACATTTGCTCTGCTGTTCAAATTATTATCATTATTGTTAATTTTAGTTTTATTATCATCACCACTATCAACGTCTCTACCCCCTTTAGAGAGGCAGAGGCAGAGGCAGAATCTAGATTAGAAGCCAGGTCACCTGCCACCCATACCTGAAGGGGAAAGAGGGCATCGGTGTCCTCGTCCTGTTTGTTGGTTTTCCAGAAAGTTTTGTGTCCTGAGTTTGCAAGCATCCCCCTTTCTCAAGAATGGCAGCTTGACTGATGCACAAGTCCCAACGTGTGTGCCTGTCTTGCTCATACACGGTCATGGGCCTGCACCCATCTGGTGACTGTGAGGGCCCAGTGGTAGGTACGTAGGGACACAGCGGACACTCAGACTACATGCCCAACCTGGAAATTTCCAGGAGAGGAGCCTGAGAGCCCACAGACCTTAAAGGATCCAGGCAGACACCTTCTTTCATGGATGGCCCTGCCCTTGGTGCTTTCACTTTTAGCCTGTTTCAAAATGTACCTGAAATTTGTTTTAATCAGGTGGTCAAGTGACAGACACAGAGACGACACTGCCCTTGAAAGAAGAATTTATTACTCCTAGTTGCCAAAAGGAGGGGGCACGCCCCACCACACCTGGCCACGTGGGGAAGCACCTGAGTGGGTCACAGTGGGTCAGGATGCAGAGGGTGAGAGAGGGAAAGCGTGGGCCAGCTCCTTTATTGGGCATCCCCAGGAAGGAATGGGCAAGGCAGGCAGTCAAGTTTGAGTTCAGGATTGGTTGGTCTGAACAATTCCAGCAGAAGCTGTGGGCTACAGGAGAGTCCTCGGTTGCCCTGGGACAATTTGGGGTAGGGAGAACGCTGGCTGGGTGTGCGAGTGCTATAGGGAAGGTGGGTGGCTGTGGGCTCTGTATTGGCTGGTTTGCATATGAAAGGCTAGTCGAGGGCCAGGCATTCTCTCCAAGGTTAGCAAGGTGGCTGGATATCAAAGCATCAAAAATACAGAAAATTTAAAAGAAAAAAAAAAAAGCCCAGCGTGTGCATTGACCCTGTAGTCCCTGTTCACTCCCTGTCTCTTATTTTCCCTTTGGGGTAAGCAGGAGAGAGGGGAGTTGTCAGTCGGGCACATGCGGCTTCTCAAGGATCTCTGCGATTCTGCAATTCTGCGGTGGTGGGTCCTGGCCAGAGAGAAGGCAGAGCAGTGCAGGGGCCGGGGGCGAGGATCAGGACCCTGGAGCGCAGATATGGGGCAGAGAGCCTGCCCGAAACAGATCGAACCCAGGCCAGCTGGGAGGCCCGGGCAAGCCACCACCCCCTTGGGACTCAGTTTCCCCACCCGTGACATCAGTGAATGACCCTCAATCGAGTCTATGATTCTCTCTGACTGCAGTTGCCTCCTGGGAGTGTTCTGAGTGTTTCCATCACCTTTTTCTCCTGGGAAGAAACCAGGAAAGGTTCTTTGTGATCCATAGGGAGGCGGGGCCCTCATTAATAACGGATGAATGTGGGGCCTGGGGCTTCAGGAAGACGCAGGATCTGGTTGGTGTTCATTCAGCACACACTCTGGGTCCAACTATCTGTACCCACTTCGTAAGGGGTGCCTAGCAGAGGCTACGATGCAAGGCATATATAAAGCTCACCTGCTTCCCAAAAGGCCACGGGGAATTTAAAACCACAAATATCTAACCCAAATCCATCAGTGCAGGAGAGAAGGCGGAAAGCGAGGGAAACTGCCTCCAGAACCGCCCCGCTGGAGGGAAGTGACAGCTTTTGAGCACAGCTGATTTTTGGTGGCTCACAGAAATGTAGCTGTCCCGCTGAAGGAAGTGTGTGTGTTCAGCAACACCCCCTCCCCTGGACCCAGACTCTGAGAACAGTTCGTTCTGGTGCCCGAAGCAGAGCCATGAGGGGCAGGGACTGACAGACCCAGAGGAAGGGTCTGCCCAGTGATAGGTGTCACATTGGCCTTTGGCAGGCCCCCGTGTGGGGTGGAAACAGACTCCAGAGAAAGTGGGTGTGGGTGCTGACTGCTGACCCCTGAAAGCAATCACATTGTTTTAAGTGAACCAAGGATTCTTTAAAAAAAAAAAATCTAATGGGCCATTCTGAACAGGGATTGGCCCTGACTGTTTTCTGGAATCACTGACCCAGAACATTTGACCATAACTCCATCTTGCCCGGAGGCGACCTGGCCTTTAAGGGGACAGACCTCTGTGTGTATGGGGAACAGGGTGGGGTTCTGACACACTCCCCCCCCCCTCTCCCCACATAGAGGCTTCGGACGGAGAACCGGCTCCTGAAACAACGGATTGAGACCCTGGAGAAGGTTAGGAGCGTGGCCACCAGCCTGTGGCACCAACTCCTCCAGGCCCCAAGCAGGACCCAGCAGCCAGAGGGCCGGCCAGCCCCCCACCCGGGCCAGGGCCCGGGCCCCACCCTGAGCCAGCAGGCCCCGAGGAGCATGGTGTAAATCTCACGGGGCCCCCACCCCCAGCCCCACCGAGATGGGGGCTGCCATATACTCAGGGGTTCTAGGGCCGCTTCGCTTGGGATCGGGTGTGAGGTTACAACCCAGTTCACTGCACACACTGGTCCCTCCTGGGCGGCCTGCATGGGGCGGAAAGAGGCAGAACCGCAGCTTTGACTGAGGTGCCCCGAATTAGGCCGCAGGCTCCCAACCGTGGAATTTGGAAGCCTCCCCCTCAAAAGAAAGGAGAGGAGAGGGGAGGCCTTACCACTGGTGCCGTGGTGGGATGCCACAACCTTGACCCTGGCCCCCAGCCTGCTTTTAAGGACAGGAGTAAAGGCGGGGGGTCCCACCTTCCTGCTCCTCTCCCCGCCTCACTTGGCCCTCCACTGCCCACAGAGAGTAGCCCCCCACCAGATTTTACTGCCCTTGCCCCAAAGTGTCAATTCTTGCTTAGACTCCACGGGAAAACACTTCGTCCTGGCCCAGCACTGCCACCCCGCCCCTCACCCTCCGGGGATGGCGCCGCCTCCCACGCTGAGTTTTCTGGGCCCTGGAGGGTGTAGCCGTGGGCACCCCCACGTCCCCACCCACACACAGACCCCTCTCCAGGACGGAGCTAGCTCTGGCTTTGGTCTTCCTCCGGGTCCTCTCCTGCTGGTTCTTTGGTTCTCTGGTCTCACTCCTCTCTCCCCTGCTTCTAGAGATAGTCCACTGCGTTAGTGACAAGTCGTTCTTGTCTGTCTCTCCCCCTCTCCTGTCCCTGCGCCTTCCGCTCTGCCTCCTCCCCCTGTTGCTCGGAACCCCCTCCGCCGGGTAGGAGAGCGCTGCTCTGGCTGATAGGTTAATCCAGGTACTGTAGCTTTTCGTCTCCCTCTCCCGTTTCCTTCCCCGTCCCTGCACACCACAGCCAGGGACGGCCTCTTCCTCGGCCACTGCCATGGGGGGGGGGGCAT